AAGTTTCTTAATTATTACAATTACATTTGTAATATCAACTAAAATACCTAGTAAATTAATTTCTGTTGAGATTTTATTTTTACAAATTCGGGTAGAAATTGTAGTTTTTATTATTTTCCCTTACGAAGCAACAGGCTAGTGGGATAAATTTTAAATATCCCTTTAATATTTAGGTAAATTTTTCATTTTATCCGTGTAGAAAGTCATTCTCATTGCTATTTTTAATCACAAGAAATAGTTTATAGGGAGGATTAGACTAGTTTTTTTGATGTAATGGTTGTTAGGGGGTTCGCTGATAGTGTGACTTAGCGTGACAAAGGGGGATGGAGGGATTCAAAAAGGTGAAATTCTGAGTGACGTATTTTATGGAACACCTAAGATTTGTTAAAATATGTTTCGATTTAAAGTTTGTTTTTCTAGAATTGTGGTTTTTGTTTTATAAAATTATGCGGAGATTTTAGACTTTTGTAATCCGGATTCAAAGGGGCTCTAAAATTATTAATTTTTTGACAACGTTTTGTTCATAATGGCAGATGTACGTACGTATAACATTAATTAGAGTTACACTTTATATGCAACTATAATGAGACACAGTGGCTGTTAGTAGCTAGCATTATTTTCTCCTCGGGTTTGTTGGCTGTATCTGAACTACTAATTCGTGAACTTACCAGGAGGTCAGTTACTTGTTTTAATTGACTAAAAGCTGCGTCTGGCACGTTAATTACAAAAATACTAATTACGAATGCAAAACGAAGAGATAAAGTCAATATTATTAACATCATGTCGCGGTTTCTCGTTTCAAAAAAAGATATCGCCAAAGAAATCGTGTTAGGTACCTATTGTATCGAATAATTAACCTAAATTCAGTACGTCGACGCGTTTGTTCGATACGTGCGTTGAAATGTTTGCTTACGCAAAAATGTATGAGACAAATTACCATAAAAATGGATTGAAGCGTTTTTTTTACCATAAATTACATACAGTTACGCACCGTATATGAAACATACTCGTTAATGTTTCAAAAGGTATTTAAATTTACCGTAAGGGTAACACTAAATTGGAACGCATTTGAAATACCTCCATAAAAAGCTGCAAATATTTTATGGAGCCAGTTTTTTAATATCAGAAATAACATACTGTACGCATAACTGAGAATTGGAAGCTTTATGCTTTTTATTTTATAAATATGCGTATTTTGCTAGATGACGGAATATCATCATCATCGTAAGATCGTCAGTCCTAAGACTAACTCGTCTATTTCTTATTGATTTCGATCTGTTCTCCCATTCTTTCTAAGCTTTTCTATACACGTTAACCTAATCATTCGCCTATAACACCACATTTCGAACGCTTCTAACCTTTTCTTTTCCGCCGCACCCACTGCCTATATTTCGCACCCATACAACGCCGGGCTCCAAACATACACCTTTAATAACCTTTTCCGAATATTTCTAAATTAACCGTTCGCGAGCATAGAAGTGACTTCTTTTTATTAAAGACGACACGACCCTCGCTATCCTCTGCTTCATATCCCTACTACTCCTTCCATCCTGACTTATCTGGCTTCCTAGGTATCTAAAATCAGCAACTTCTTCTAATTTTTCGTCTTCTATCTTTATATTCGCTCATTCCCTACTTTTTCTTCCCTTGCATACCAGTATTTTAGTTTTAATTTTATTTAATACTCAATACAATTTAAATTATTTATTGCACGAAAGGGCAGGTTCTTGTTGCTGTTATAAATAAGTTTTGTGAAACTGTTCCGGTGATTTTATTTCTAATGTGAAAAGGTAACACTGGCATGTTTATTTATAAGGAAAAAGTTAATTGTTATGTGGTTATTGCAAAACATATCGCAAGACGCATGCATATGGGTCCGGTATTTAGTACATTCGCTGGGAGAATATAATTGGATTAAAATTCTTACATGGCCATTGTTTATAGAAATCGGTTTTTCTGCACGTGTTTTGCATACGAATTAAGGCAAATAAGAAAAAAAAAAACGATGGCAATGTTCTCAACGGTTTCAACGCCAACATTTGTTTATATTTTGCGCTCCTTCTTCTTTTTTTAAAGTTCAGTCTACTTTGGCTGTTTCTAGAGTTGGCAATGACCTTTGAACAAATATCATACTTGATATTATTGGAAGTAAACATTCCATTAGGTAATCTGGATATTGTCAGTTTATTAATAAAGAGGCTTTGTATAAAATATTCATAGCAAAGCTGCTTATTTAGTGTATTTCTTAAATAAATGCAGATTTTTGAAGAATATTTACAAAAATTCCGAATAAAAAGAGGAAACAATGTCAGTTAGTAAATATCGTACTAGAAATTGAATAGTAAATATTAATGTATTTTTAATTAAGTATTTATTCATTTTTGTTGTTTTGGTTACCCAAGAAAAAAATATTTTTTCACGTATGTAATTTAAATTCTACATAAAAGATGTGGAAGTTTGGATTTTAGTGTTTTATTTAGCTTAGTTTCATTAATTTTTCTAGTATTCATATATCTATTTCCGGTATTATATTTTTAATACATACGTCTAGCACTATTAGTATCTAGTAAGAGGAGTTTGAGATATAAAATGGAAGCGGTAACAGTACTGTATGAAGATAAATAAAAGTAAAACAAAAATACTGGTATGCAAGGGAAGAAAAAGTAGGGAAAGAGATAATGAAAATATAAGAGACAAAAGACTAGAAAAAGTGGCTGATTTTCGGTATCTAGGAACTGAAATCAGTCAGGATGGAAGGAGTAGTAGGAATATAAAGCACCTCTGCTAGCGCAGGGTCTAGACGCCTTCAATAAAAAGAAGCCACTTCCATGCTCACGAACGATTAATTTAGAAATTCGAAACAGATTGTTAACGGTGATGTTTGGACCGCGACGCTGTACGGGTGCAAAGCATGGACAGTGGGCGCAACGGAAAGAAAAGGTTAGAAGCGTTCGAAATGTGTTCTTACAGGCGAATGACGAGGATAACGTAGATAGAGAAGGTTAGAAACGAAGAGGTATTAGAAAGAATAGGAAAACAGAGGACTCTATGAAAATCAATAAGAAATAGGCGGGATAGGTTAGTAGGACACCTTCTCAGACATGAAGGTCTAATCAGAGACATATTAGAAGCAGAAGCAGGAGTTAAGAGGGGTAGAGGTACACCCAGATTAGATTACTGTTCGCAAATAGTTAAGGATGTGGGTTGCTCTAGTTTTGGGGAAATGCGAAGATTAGCTCAGGATAGGAAAGAGTGGAGGTGCATGTTCAACCAGTCTTACGACGACCTTATGATGATGATATGTCTATCCTAAATATACTTATTGGTATTATAGAAATTGATTTTTAATGATCTATTACACGAAACGTGGAGTTAAAAGTTGAAAGTAACTGGTAGGTCGAATATGAATATATTCAATTTCTATTTACTTCACCACTTACTGGCACCAAAATAATCTATTAAATCGAGTATATTTATTGTTTATATACGTATAGAAACTGACGAAAAAGTACATAGTTAGTAAAAATCCGTAAAAATTCTCTATTGTTTTAAATTTCAGTGTATCTGTTACACATTGTGTTATAGAATCTCTCAAAATAAAGATAAGTAGTAGTTGTCAGTATTTTGCGGAGGATTAATGTCTCGTATTGTTGTTAGCTTTGAACAGTCGCATCATCAGTTAAACTGATAAAGGTACTGATAAGATAAATCTATTTGCAGGTCACAATGGCGGCAGTTGCATGGTCGAAGTCACTCTCTCTAGACCGAAGTTCGTCACTGCACTGTACCAACAACAAGAAACCATTCGGGACACTCCCAGTTAACATCAGTTTACAAAATATACAAGAAAAGTATTCCGAATTGGAACGAGTCAAACGCAATATTGTAAACTCCAGAAGGTTGTTTCTAAAACTGGAAGACAGTGAGGTGGATGCAGCGAAAGAGAAATCAGAAGAGCAACAAAGTGCAGATCGTAAAGAGAATGTGATCGATAAGAAAAGAGCTCACAGAAAGGTGAGTTTCAAGTGCAAAAAGCCGTCCAACATTTATTGGAAGCCGAAAACAAGTGCCACTGATGTTAATGTTACCGTTGCACAACTCACTTCCCGATTTAATCAGATGATAAATGGCAGTAACAAAATCGAAGAAGAACGTACCATTTCAACCGAAGAAATTCGATTAACCCGTGCAGCGAATATGTCCAGTCATAAACGAGTACATAGGAAGCCAAGCGTTAAAACAAAACCATTATCTGAACATAACAGGCCTTCTACCATTCCGAGATCGAAACATTTTATGAAAAAGAGACACGACTCGAAAAAAACCGGAACTGACACCGATAATAACGATGCCGATTCGCACATCAATACAGACAGTGAAGAAGTGAAATTACGCAGTTCAGTTTCGATAATTTTGGATGATTCGTATATAACTAACACCAAGAGACATGAGTTTCCTCCGAACGTTCGCGCTGCTATCGAAATTTTCGAGAAGGGATCCACCCCCTACTCGACATTAGATCATAGGAAAAGTACCAAAAATGTGCCAAAACCACAAGTGCCTGAGAAAATAGTTAGAAATAGAACTAAGGACATTGTGATTAAAAATGGTGTCTTAATGTGGAAAGTAGTGCAACAAGTGGAAACGGACGGAAATTCAAGTGAACTACATGAACAGACTACAACTGATGATACCATCGAAAGTGAAAATCAAGTTAATGTCCCAAATACCGAGGAAACACCTACTGAACAAATTTTACCTCCAATTACTAATCCAGAACAAGAACAAGACGAAGTAAAATCTCAAGAAGAACCGCATGCGTCTGAATTAAATGAGACCAACAAAAGTGATGGCTTTAATGAGACTGATGAGCAATTATCAATTCCAGTACAAATAATCAACATTCCTCTGACGCCCCCAAAGAGGTGCGATTCCATTTATGAAACTCAGCAGTTACGAAGAACGTCATTAAAATATCCTTCTGGTGAAACGTCAGCACAACCGAACAGTTCGTTTCTTTGGAGGAAGCAGTCGCGAGAAAATCTTAAAAAACTTCAAAAGAAAGACGATGGCGAAAGCGTTAATTCGTCAATGGATTCGATTAAAACGGATCGATCAAATTCCAGTGTAGAACAACTGTATTATCGAGTGAACATTCCTAACTCTTCATCGGTTACAAGCGATCTCACGAATTCTATAGAAACACTTGACGGCTATGAGATTCCTCAGTTGATAATAAGTGAAGAAGATGACACTTACGATTTCGTAGACACATCTTCAACGACAGAAGCCAAAGAAGAAAGACTTGAACCACCAGCTGTTCCACCCCGTCCTGCTAGTCTTCCGGGAATCGCTAATCGAACTTCCCCTTCTTTACAAAGGATACAGAAAGAATGTAGTTCCCCTCAAATTGAACCCGTTAATGTATTGATCGAAGACAGTCTTTCCACAAGTATCCACAAATATGAAGAATTAGACAAGACAACCGACGATGGATACGAATATTGTGGAAGTCCTTCTGGAGATCCTACTAAGGTCATTTACGAAAAGATTCCAGTTCGGATAAAATCTGATACCGAAGATGGTTACGAATATTGCAGCAAAACAGACGTAAAAGACAGTGAAAGAATTTACGAAACCATTCCACATAATAAAGATGAAAAGAAAATTTCACCACAACCACCCCCTCTACTACCAAAAAAACAAGAACAGCCACTGCCACCGAGACCGCCGTCCAGGAGTTCGACTCTCATGTCATCAAATTGCTACGAATCGATCTACAGCAGTAAAAATGACAAAAATTGCGATATCGACTATAATTACGAACTGATTTGTGACGTTAATAAGTGGAACTTACCATCGAACAGACACTCGTTAGTATCCTGTGATCAACAAAGTAATAGTATTTATGGACGGTCACTTACAGGTTGGCCTTCCGAAGATGGAAGTCCATACAGTGGAAAAGCCAACAGTGACCTTAGTGTAAGTGATAAAAGTGACGAGTGGATTGATATATCGGATAACGAGGGAAGTCTCTCCGGAAACACTGGCCTTGGCGTGATGTAAGTATTTGATGTTAATTTTATACCTATTTCGATTATCGATTGTGCACATACTTGGAACAAAAGCCGCAAAAAATCGTCTGCCATACTAATGAAGCTCTTAACATATCTTTACTAGGTATAACGATTTATTTATTTATTTCCAAATGAGACACGCCACGTATTATTTCGAAAAATCATTCATTTGTCCTTTAATTTGAAAAAGACAATCATTTTTCTCTCAGTTCATAAACTTTTTCGTAATAGCATAATCCGTTATTTTCTTAAAACGCTATATATTTTCTCTTTTCAATTTTAAAAAGCTAATTTAAGTTTATCATTTATCAATATGCGTATAAAAAGATATATAAACTTCGACAGAAAATCATCTTTCCATTAAAATGGATTTGACTTGAATAGCTTGAATGTTGTCCCCATTTTATTATGTGTCTACTGTTCTAGTATCTTAATGTGGCAAAAGACCCCTGGAAAAGTGTATTAGCTATATCCAGCGTACGACAATAAAGTTTTAATATAATTTTTAAACTTAAAAATGAAGATGTTCCTGCTGTTAATTCACTAAATAAAAATACTTTAAAGAAAGTAGAAGCAATACAGAATATCGTATTTTGATATCATCGCTAGAAATAGTAATAATAAATCAATCGCTAAAATTCGTGTTATTATTATACACTCGTGATTTTTATTTTATTGTTTTTTATGTTCATCATCACAAGGTCGTCAGTTCTACCACTCTTTCCTATCCTTAGCTAATCTTCGCATTTCCCTAAAACTAGAACAACCCACATCCTCAACTATTTGCGAACAGTAATCTAATCTAGGTCTACCTCTACTCCTTCTAACTCCTGCTTCTGCGACTAATACGTCTCTGACTAGACCTTCATGCCTGAGAAGGTGTCCTGCCAACCTATTTCACCTATTGACTTCTTTAGAGTCCTCTGTTTTCCTATTCTTTCTAATACCTCTTCAGTTTTAACCTTCCCTATCCACAGGATGCTCATAATTTGCCTGTAACACCACATTTCGTACGCTTTTAACCTTTTCTTTTCCGGCGCGTCAATTGTCCATGTTTCGCACCCATATAGCGTCGTGCTCCAGACATACGCCCTTAACAACCTTTTTCGAATCTAAATTAACCATTCGCGAGCATAGAAGTGACTTCTTTTTATTGAAGGACTCAACCCTGCGATATTCTCTTTTGGTATCTCTACTACTCCTTCCATCCTGACTTATTTGACTTCCTAGATACCGAAAATCAGCCACTTCTTCTATTTTTTCGTCTTCTATCTTTAAATTCGCTCTTTCCCTACATTTTTTTCCCTTGCATACCATTATTTTTTGTTTCAACAGGCCAAATTTTTACCGAATTGTACAGCATGATTAAAGAATCTAAAATCTAAGACCGAAATAGTCTGTGCTTTTTACTCTGTTGTATGTAGGTAATGTCTCTTGTTTGCCTTTCTTTTTTTTAAATTATGTACTTGTTCATATTTGTTTTCATAGAATTTCTAATACAAATAATATATATTTTTTCGAATTTAACCAAGAAACCACTTTTAAACTAGATACT